GCTGGAGACCCCCCGCCGGGCGGGACGGCAGGGAGGGGGAGGAAGACCCCAGTCGGCGGCCTTCGCCCCTGAGGACTCGCTCAGAGCCCCTCCTCCTCTTGGCCTCTGGGCAGCTTTCTCTTCCGTCCACCTGTCTGTCCACCCGGATGTCAGCATTCCCCCTGGGAGGAGTCTCCCTTGACCCTCCCCTTTCCACCTGGCCAGGTGAGCGGGTCTCTTCTGCCTGTGCCCTGTACTCCTTAGGACCGGATGTGACCTGGGGTGGCCACCTCTGTGTGGGCACTGTCCTGTCCCCCTGGCCCCGGGTGCCCGGGGCAGGACTTTCCTCTGGCCTGCTCTGCCCAGCCCGGCCGGCAGCCAAGCACCAACCCATTGTTGAGCGGAAGAATTTCACTCGGAGCTCAGAATCCCTGCTGGAATTTTCCATTCAGATAAGCGAGGGTGAAGGTTGGGGCGAGGCAGGCCCCCCTCCCTCGGCAGATAAGAGATCCTGGGAGACTGGTACCTCAGATAACGATCGCACGAAGAGCGCCACCCTTGACCACAGCTCTGTAGGGAAGCCCCAAGGAGGCGGGGGGCCCCCTTCCCCAGATCCACAGATCAGGGCCACTAGGCACGTCCGCTGGGAAGGAGACACGTGACCAATCTGAGCTGCCCCGGTCCTTCACAAGGAGCAGGGGCCGTGGGTGTGGTTGGAGCGTGTGCCACAAGCCCTGAGACCTGCTGCAAAAATCTCAGGAATGTTTGTGCCATGGTGCAGCAGGCTCGGGCGGAGCGGCCGGGAGGGAGACGGGGGGAAGTTATAAAAGGCTGGGCTGGCCGGAGAGGGGCCAGGTGCATGGCCACCTTGGGGCCGATGACCCATCGCTGTCACACCTGAGCTGAGACTGAAGAGTCTGTGGGTGGGGGTGTCGCTGAGATTCTTCAGACATGGGGCGTGTGCTAAGACCACACACTCCCCAAGGGCCCTCCCGGCTCCAGAACTCCGTAATTCTGCATTTCTTTTGAAAGGGGAATGAGCTGAGAGCCGGCCACCTATGCTCACAGCCTGGTTGAGTGGCGCGGGGGGATCTCCCCCTGTGACTGTCGGTGTAGGACAGTGGTAAGGTGCCCAGAGAGTCTAAAGTCCGTATACCTGTAAATAACAAACTTTATCACATTGCTTATGTGTCATTTTTGCCTAATTCCCATGACAGGCTGGGGTGTGCACATCACTGCGCCCGGGTGGGTATGGTCGGGAAGCCTGTGTCGTCTCCACCCTCCCTGCCTGGCACGGCCCTTTGCAGGGGAAGGATCCTCTGATTGCAGGTGAGGGCTCAGGTTATTCCCTCTGGTGGGTGGCTCAGTGCTGAGATCAGATCACTGTGGCCGGTGGCAGGCAGTGAAAGGAGGCAGGGAACCTCTGGCCCAAGGCCCTGGCCTGGAAGGTGAGGAGACAGGCTGGGCAGGCACCCCTGAGACCCAGCAGTCAGGAGCCCCAGCTCCCTGAGAATCTGAGCTCAGTCTCCATGGGTCCTTGGGCCTCTCAGGGTGGGGAGGGGTGGTGTGGGAAGGGGCTGTTAGGTTGTTTGGGGTCAGCCTGAGCCCGAGGCCCCTGGGGCGGTTTCCCTCTGTGTCACCTGGGTGTGGCTTGCCTTCCCCTGTGTGCTTTGGCTCAGACACTGGGGTAGGCGGGATTCTGAGATGGCTCCCAGGATCCTGGCCATGAGGTTCCCACAGAGGAACAGTCAGGTGGGAGGGTGACAAAGCTGGCAGATGGCATCAGAGACCTATAGCCCCTGCTCCCAGGTGGCCACGAGCCAGGACCTGTCATCTGACTCGGGGCCCCACCCACCTGGCCGGCCTCCGGTTGCAGGTGCAGGCCCACAGTGCAGGCCCGAAGGGCAGGCCCGCGGGGCAGGCCACAGGAGCTGGCTCTCGCTGTCTGTGGAAGGACCCAGCTCACCTGCCTTCTCTCCTGGGCTGCTGGCAGCCCCACGGGCAAAGCTGCCGGCAGCCCCGAGGAAGGGGCAGGGAGACGCGCTGAAATGAGGCCTTAAGGAAGCTCAGGAACCCTGAGCATTGGATGACAGCAGACACCTGACAGGAGGCTCATTTCCAGCTGGGTGCCCAGGTGCTCCTGCCCCAGGTGACCACATGACTGTTGGACCTTGCCCTGGGAGCCTGGTGGAAGGAAGTGACCTTAGGGGACCAGGGAGTGGGGCTGGGCACCGCCTCGGGCAGAGACTGCGGCTTCTACCTGATCTCTGTGGGAGCCCAGCCCCCCCTCCCAGCTGCTCTGGCGGCCTCGCTGCCTGGTGAGGGCAGCCGACCTTTCCCCAGGACACGGGAAACAGGTAGGGGCCCTGCAGGCCCCGGTGATGACGGGCTGTCAGGCTCCCTGGAAGTGACCAGGCCTGGGGACACGTGAGTCATTGTTTAAACTTTTGTGCACTTGGCAGAGTGTGTGTGTGTGTATCTGTGTGTCTGTGTCTCTGTATGTCTGTGTGTCTGTATCTGTGTGTGTGTGTGTCTGTGTCTCTCTGTGTGTCTTTTCCTGTACCCACACATGAACAGTCACCAGGGCACAGTGGGGAAGGAGTCTGTTGGACTGAGGGCCACCGTGCCGTGTGGGATCCAGGTTGGGGAGGTGGGGTCCTGGAAGGAGATTCCTACTGAAGCTGCAGTGAGTGAAGTGCTCAGTGAGGAGGAGTCAGATGCTGCGCTGATACAGGAACATCTCGGGGACGCCTCACAGGGATCTCGGGGTTCTCTGCGCACAGGGAGGGACACCCACGAGGGACGAGGGGCGCCTGACAGGAGACTCGGCAAGCCAGGCCCTGCCCCGGAATGTCCTCCCCCCAAAAGAGGAGTTAGGTCTGCAGTCCCTTCTCCTTCCTTGCTGGGCGGGAGGTGGGCTGTAAGGAGTGAAAGGCCCCGGGTCAAGGTGCCGGAGGGCGTCTGTCTCCATGAGCCGAGCTCAGGGGTCTGCAATACCCTAGGGCACTGCTCACAGGGACTTCAAAGCCTCGAACTGATTAAGCCTGGAGGCGGCTCAGGCCTCGCATTTTCAATTTTCTCTTTGAACAGAGGGCTTCAGCCTCTGATTATCGGAATATACAACCTGTAATCACACAAAAAATTATACATGACAATGCTCACCGAGTCTGATTCCTTATGGAGAATAGAATTAAAGCTTAGCAAAGATCCAGTGGTAGGAAAATGGCCCAGCAAATTGAACAGTTGTAAGAATGTTACATGCTCATTAAACATGCATAACATGTAGCAAGGTGCAAAACCGCCTTTGGTCCGTGTTGGTGTTTTAAAGGTAGGATACAAAACTGCGTGCTGAAACTGGGTTTCAGTTTGTTTTTAAGATTCATAAAAATAAACTAGAAGAAAGTAGGCAAATGCTAATCCTGATTGAATTAAGGGTATGGGATTTTGAGTAATTTAAATTTTCACACTGACCATGATATGTTTATATTTATAGTAAAATAATACTTTTCAACAAACAGATTTATTGTTGCCAAAGGAGTAGGACAGGGCACAGGGACTTTCATAAATGGTCTGTGCGTCCATAGGCCACCTGCTTTGGTCAATCCAAACATGTTTTGGGCTAAAGATTTTGTTGACTCGAGAAGAGTTTTATTAACTGGTACAAAAGCATAGCAAGGAGCGCTTGAGGGTAGCACGTCCTGCAGGTGTGCCAGGACTTTCTGTGCAAAACTGCCACACAAGCCAAGGGGCCCTCTGCTCCTAAGCGCCGCCTTGAGTGCTTGCAGCGAGAAGCGAGGTGGGGCCGGGGAGGCGCGGAGAGCTTGGGCTCCACTCTGAAGAAGCGTCCCCGTGACTGGCGCAGGTTCGGGTCTGATACGTTCGTCTATTGCGGTGCGATGGCCACACAGCGCCGGCTGGCACCTCCCCCCGTCGCTTAGTCCCTGCTCTTTTGTGGTGGGAACACTGCAGGTCTGCTGCTCTCTTAGCAGCTCCGGGGATGAAACACAGCATCTCAGCTGTAAGGCCAAGCTGCTCCTGAGGCCCCCGGAACTCACCCGTCTTATAACGGGGTGTTCGTACCGTTTGGCTCACATCTCCCATCTCTCCCAGCCTCCGGGAACCGTCGCTCAAGCCTGTTTCTCTGCGTGCAGGGGGAAAAGCAGTTTATAGTTAGGACTTGG